GGATTATTGATCATAGAAGGTGTGGGAACTAGCATATCCCTCTTACTAGGAGGTCTACCTCTAGACAGAAGAAATGTCCTTAGGTTTTTCATTTATTTATTTTTTCTATTTCTCTTTTTGGGGGTTTCTTTTTAACTTTTTATGTGTAAATACAAGCAAGCCCAATAATGTGGCTGCTGAGAAAACCCCCAAAAGTTTAGAGAAAGCTTCTCAGCCTAGTCACTGTCACAAGTAAGTTTATTTCTTTCAAAAAGTCAAAGCCAGGTTTTCCCTCCAGCTTTGCCAGTTTTATTGGGTTTGTTTATTTGTTTGTTTGTTTGTTTGATGGTGATGATTTTAGTTAATCTGGCAGGAATAATCTCACTTCTGGCATATGTCTATCCCTAACTGATGAAATTATTTTTTTATCATCCAGGAAATGATATACTCATGTGAGCTCTACAAGGCACTGGCAAGGATCATATAAATAAAACCAGGAAAGAGTATTTATTGCTAGAAAATGTAAGGAGAGTAAAGGTTAAGGAGACAAAATTCTTCAATGTTCTCAAGGGTCATATGGATATGGAATTAGGCCTGAAGAGTCCCCTTCAATTTATCTTCATGCTAATACATTCAACAAACATTTGTTAAATATGCACAGTGTGAATAAAATCAACATGATGCATGTACTCAGAAGTTGCAATCTAGTCGGGTTTTACACACATTAATTTTAAAAACCTTGCAAATAATCATTTAATTAAAAACCATGATAATTTCTAGAAAGGAAAAGTAAATATTCTATGACAGCATTTAATAGAGTGGCATAATTTAGATTTATAGGTAAGTGAAGATGTCGCCAGAGGAATGAAATTTAAGCAGGAGAGAGGCAGGCAGTGGGTGGGAGTAAAAGGCAGAAGCATGTGTAATGTTCCACAGGTAGAACACAGCAGGTAAGTTTAAAAAAAATACAATGTGGTTAAGGGATAACAAGCAAGAAGCCAAACATTAAGAGGTAAAAGTAAAAGAGGTGGTCAGTTGGGGTAAGGAGTTTATATTGTAACTCTTGTGCATATGACACGCTGACGCTCTAAAAGCAGATAAATATTCAATAGTATGATGATGCAACACAAATGCACTCTAAAAATATCACATTGAGCCCTGGCTGCGTGAGTCAGTTGGTTGGAGTATCATCCTGTACAACCAGAAGTTGCAGGTTCGATCCTTGGTCAGAGAGTTACAATTGATAATTTTCTCTCAAAATGATCTTTCCCCCAACCACCTCCCCTCTCTACCTCCCTTCCTCTCTCTCTAAAATCAATATATATATCCTTGGGTGAGGATTACAAAATATCACAGCAATGGCTTTGCTGAGACTGATTTGGAGAAAGGCAAAAGTGCAAGCAGGGAAAACAAGGTCAAAGTATATCATAATAGTTAAAGGGAATGATGATGCTGGGCTAGGCTAAAGTGCTGATGGCACAGATAAAGAGAGGTGAGTAGATCTGATGTGTATTTTCAATGAAATTAGGGGGTAATTAAGGAACTCTCATAGATCAGGTTTAGTGCACTATTTAAGGCAGAACTCTGATTGCTGTTCACTGAAGGTAAGGAAGTGGAGAGTCAAAGGAGACTAACCTTTGAAAAAACTGATGCTAGGAAATGGATAAAGGGAAGTAGGTATCAGGGACCTCATGACCAATGAAGAATCTTTATTCATCCATCTCTCCAGTTTCCCATTCATTTGTTTTCAGGCATTAAGCAACTGAAGTTTTTTTTTCTGAATTGAAGGGCAGGATGGAGATTGACAAATTGAATAGGCAATGAAATAACAGAACTAAAGTAGGGTAAAATATTCCCCAAATGGAGGTAAGTAAATTAGCACATAATATAGCATTGTACACACATGAGCACACACACACACACACACACACACACACACACACACACACACACAACAGTACATAAACATTGTTAAAAGCACTGCCTATGAAGTCAGGGTGCCTGGGTTTTAATTATGGATCTCCTCCTTACTGTGTAACTTGGACAGACTTCCCAACCTTACTTGTCTTCAGTTCCCTCTTACAAATTATGGAGTCAGTAATAGAACTAATCTCATAGGGTTGTGAGGAATATATGAGATGCTAGGAGAAAATTGTTTAGCATGGTATATGATACAGTAACTCCTCAATACATTTGTGTTTCTATCACTAATAATAAAAACAATATTCTTCATAATAAATAAAGTAATCCTCTTTCTGAAGTTTGATAAGAGAGTAAGTTAATAAGACATAGGTAGAGATAACTTTGTAGGTAAAAGAGATATTGGAGGTTCTGAAACCAAAGTGCTTTGTTATTTCTCCAGTGAGTAACAGATTAGGTTGTTTGTAGTAGGTAAAGAGAACAGGGAGAGGAGGTAGAGAAGGCTTGAGAAAGTCAGGTAAGAAATGATACAGCCGCTATGAAAAAATGAAACACCACTGAATAGAAACAAGTAAAAATAACTGCTGAAATGACAATGAGAGTCCCGCTGAGGTAAAACCTAAAATGTCATAAAGACACCAATTCACTGAATGCACCAAAGAGAACAGGGATGTATAAAACCAGAGAGCCAGAGACAGAATGAGAATGCTAAGGAACTCAGGTTTTATTCTGTAAACTCTGGAGGACACCGAAGGTTTTTGATACAGATGTCATATGATGAATAGAGATTTTAAGAAGACTATACTAACCATTTTTGAAGGAGAAAGAAAATAGAAATAAGACAAATAGTTTGGAGCCTCTCTCATTAGTGCAGATTATTCTATATCCATTATCATAGTTGTCCTCAATGTATACTCATGATAAAATTTGAGGGTTAAAGAGCATTCAGGTATATTCATAAAAAATTGAACTGAGTTTCAGCACAGACCATAAGGAACGTGTTTTAGCATAATTTTCACTTTTACAGATCTAAAATGTGCTATTTTTAATCTCAGGCTCATACTTTGATTTAATAACTGTCCTATAACTCAATTTAATAAACATCTATCAGTTGTCTATTTTATATAAAATCTACCCCAAGCTCTGCAAAGCATACTTGCTTTAAAGACTAAGGCACATCATTATTTTAAATATCTTTTTGGAATATGTAAGATTGTAGAAATTTAAGTGGTAAACACTGATTGATACTGCCTTAGAAAATTCACGTAGAATAAACTACTTTGTAATGTCCTTGGCATTTCCCCCTGTCTTGTCATGTCACCAAACATAGGGAGAGTAAATATGAGGACCAGGTGATTTCAGGTACAGAGTCCCAGAATTATTTACAGTTATGTGCATAAAGAAGAAATCTCCTCCATTTTCTAGTTTGCTTCAAGTTCAAGAGGTATATCGCTTTCTATGTCCCCAAATTTCATTTCCACAGTGCAGTACCAAGGATATTCCTTTTGAAGGACTTGAGTGGAAAACTAATACATTTTCCAAGATAAACTACAGTCAGAAAAAATGGCCTGAGAAAAATTGTGTAGTGTACCTACTGTAAAAGTCATAACAATCATGACACAGCTGAATTCTCAGATGGTACATAGACTAGTTTAAACTGTAATATGAATTCAGGCAGCTTAGGTTTCAAGTGAGAACTTTGGTCTAGAAAATTTATTAATTAATATGGTACTAAAGTGCTGTCTAATAATAATAACTTGCCAGTTCAGATTATTTCACCTAAATCAAAAATGAGAAAAATACCTTCCTCAGGTACATTTACATGCTCTATCTCATCCCAAATATACATTCCAGATGTACTTGTCAAGGATTTGAAAGAATCCTCCTAGATCAGTGTTTGCAAATCTATAACTGAGAATTAATAAACTCTAAATATAGGCAAACAGTTAATGAATGTGCTCAAAAGGAACATAATCTGTCCCATCTATCATAATTTGACTTTAGATAGGATTTTTATTTATTTTATTAAATTATTTTTATTGTTTATTCTATTACAATTTTCCCAATTTCCCCCCTTTCACCTTCTCGCCCATCCCACCCCCGCTCTCACAGTCAATCCTCACACTGTTGTCTGTGACCGTGAGTCATTCATATATGTTCTTTAAATAGTCCCTTCCCCTCCTTCCACCATTATCCCTTACCCCAATATCCTCTGGTCACTTTCAGTCTATTCCATGTTTCCATGACTGGGGATTCTATTTTGTTCATTAGCTTTGTTAATTAGAATCTGCTTATAGGTGAGATCATATTGGATTTGTCTTTCATCAATTTTTAAATTGCAAAGAACCAAATCAGATCAATTTAAATATATTACTATTAAAAAGGCTATAAAATATTTTGGATGAAGCAGACATTGTATTTGACTATTAGGTCTTATGTTAATTTTATGTCTTAGTAGGCAAGTGGAAAATAGTCAGGTAGCCAGGGTAAAGATGGCAGCTGTACTACAACTTTTAATGCCCACAAGCCAACAAACTTGTATTGAATACCTATGTCAAAACACCTCTTTGTCTGAGAAATTGAATCAATTATCTTGCCCTCTCTTCCACATTTTTGGGTAGTTTTGAAATGGAGGGAATTAAGAAAACATGATATATTTTAATAATGACTTAACCACACTAAAGCATGATATGTATTTATGAGATTCTCCTACCACCTGAGACAATGTATTTAAAGCTTTTAATAAATTAATGATACTCTATAGGAAATCTTAAAATTCTTTTGCTTTTTCTGAGGTAATATATACCACCACAAAATGTTATTTTTCATATATTAATATAATAAATATCAGCGATGGTATGGAGGACTTTCCATGAGATATTTTGAAATATTTTATAAGATATAAACATTAATTTCTGTACTTTTCAATGCCTTGACAAATAATATCAAATGAGGAATTTTTGTCTGACAGCTAATAATATATTAAATTATGTAGATATATAGTGAAACAAATATCAACAACTTAAGAATTGTCTTTCCTTTCACTGTTCCTGACTGTAACCTCCAAGCTGAGTTTGTGGACCCTTATGCTGGATACGTACCACAACTCCAAATTGTTCCGGCTCACAAAGGTCATTATACTCATTCTTCAGCTGTGCTAATTCATTGAGTGCCTTCTGCTCAGGAAGATGTTTAACCAGGTTCTAAAAAAAAAGTATAAATGTTTACTATTTTATTTTTAGAATTAGTAAGCATGCATTTACAATTCTAAAAGTGGTAAAATAGGGTAGCATATAAATTTCTAATTGTGGTTCTGTTATAGTAGCACTGTTTCCATACCTTCTTCCTAAAAACATACCCAAAAATGAACTACAACTTAATGTCAATAATTATATAAATATAGTCAATTACTATGTACTACAGTATATAAAACTTAAATAAAAACATCATATTGCAATGAATGCCATCATATAGAAATAAACAGACTGACCTTCTGGGTCTTAAATATATAAAATAAATTTTAAGCTTTATTTTTGTTATGAAAATTAGTCAATCTACACAGAAAAAAATACTATGAAGAAATTAATTCATGTGTAATGATGATAATAATAATAATATTAATAATACATCAACTATATTCATATTGGCAAAATCTGAAATCCTTTTCAATCTTACAAACCACAGTAGGACTGTAATAATAATCTCCCATTATTTACAATGCCTGTATTTAAATACAAGATGAATTTCACTGTAATGGAAAATCAAGCAACAGTGATGAAATTGGATGCATGCTCAAGTCTAATACATAACAGAAGCAAAATTGATTAATTCTTCCCAACCTGGCTTATCTTGCACTTTGGTATAGTTTTAATTATTATTACATTAGTCTGCAGCCAACCTTTTGGGGACTTGTATGGGATTTCAAAAAACATATGAAAGGGAAGACAGCAAGAAACAAAGAATTTAGAAAGTAAGGGTTGACACAAAATGGCAGAGAAGGAAGTTTCTGGGATTAGAACTTCCACAAAGCAATCAGTGAGCTAGAAACAGTGATCTAAATAAACTATTTCAAAAGTCTAGAACCTGACTGAATACTTATAGCAAGATGTTTCATGAAGAAAGACACTTCTGTTCTCTAGTAAAAAAATGATATGCATGAAACAGATACCATACTCCATTCCTCATCACCACTGTGAGGTTAGTCTTTGAGTTCCTCTAGGGTAGGGGTTCCCAGTACTGGTCCATGTACTGTTAGGAACAAGGCTGCAAAGCAGGAGTTGAGTGGTGGGCAAGCAAAGCTTCACCTGTGTTTACAACTGCTCCCCATTGCTCACATTACCACCTAAGCTTGGCCTCTGGTCACATCAGCAGTAGCATTAGATTCTCAAAGAAGCATACAATACAAAACAGAAGAAGAATACAATACAATACAACACAGTAGTCTTGAACCCTACTGTGAACTACACATGTGAGAGATGTAGGTTGCACACTCCTTGTGAGAATCTAACGCCTGATGATCTGAAGTGGAGCTGAGGAAGTGATGCCAGTATTGGGGAGTGGCTGCAAATACAGATTATCAGTAGAAGAGAAGTTTGACTGCACAGAAACCATAATAAATCAATTGCTTGTGGACTCATATCAAAACCCTATCAGTGAGTGGCAAGTGACAATTAAGCTGCATGTGGTGGTGGGCTTTAAGTCAGAATCCAACACTTATTTCAGTCCATGGGTGGCTCACCCATTATTTCATTTACCACTCTCATACATGCCTCTTTCCTACACTGTGCACTTGTCTCAGTCACAGTTGTGGTAAGCCCACATGCTAACCCTAGCATGTGCTGAGTTGTATAATTATTACAGTATATATTACAATGTAATAATAATAATAGAAATAAACTGCATAATAAATGTAATGTGCTTAGATCATCCCCAAACCATACCCCACCCTGGTCCATGGAAGAATTATCTTCCACAAAACCAGTCCCTGGTGGCAAAAAAAATTGGGGACCACTGCTATAAACCATTACACCTAACAGATATATACAAAATGCTCTACCTCAAAGTCCTAATACATTAACAGACTGTAATATATAAACTATCTTTGTGATTACAATGGAAAGTAACTAGAAAATAATAACAGAATGAACAGTAGAAAATTCACAATATGCAGAAATAAACAACATACTCTTGAGACAACCAAAAGAAATCACAAGGGAAATTAGAAAATATCTTGAGATGAATGAAAATGAAAATACAATAATCCAAAATTATAGATCGCAGCAAAAGCAGTACTAAGCGAAAAAATATTAGAGCAATAAACACCTTCATTAAAAAGGAAAGATCTAATATCTACAACCTAACTATATTCCTCAAAAAACTGGAAGAACAACAAACTAAACCTAAAGCTGGCAGCAAGACAGAAATAAAGATTGAAGCAGAGATTTTTTAAAAATAGAGAATTAAAAACCAATAGAGAAAAATCAACACAATTAAAAGTTGATTCCAAAATTGACAAGTCTTTAGCTAGATTTACAAAGGAAAAAAGAAAGATGACTTTAATAACTAAAATCAGAAGTGAAAGTTGGGAGATTATTACTGATTTTATGTAAATAAAAAGGATTATAAGAGGCTACTAGGAATTTTTGCATGCTAACAAATGCCAACCAAACAAAATGGAGAGATTCTTAGAAACACACAAACGACCAAAACTGAATCCAAACAATGTTGAAAATTTGAGTTCACCTATAACAAGTAAGGAGATTAAATCAGTAATCAAAGGATTCCTAACAAAGATAAGTTCAGGACTGGATGGATTCACAGGTCAATTCCACCAAATATTTAAAAAATTAACACCAATCCATTTTAAACTCTTCTGAACAAAATTAAGAGATGGGGAACTTTTATGAAGCCATTATTAAACTGAGAGTAAAACTGGTGTAAGACACTACAAGAAAACTACAGGCCAATAGTCTCTAATAAATATATAATGAGTGGAGGGTCTGCCCAGATCACTGGGTGGAGGGGAGTGGGGAGCCCAGCATCAATGCCAGAGGCTGCATCCCTCCTGGAGATGGGGGAGGGGTTGGGAAGCCTGGGGCACTGTGCAGGAGCAATTGCCCCAGCAACAGGGCAGCCTGGCCTGGAGGAGGGAAAATCCCCCTACATGCTTCCACCACACAGAAGATTTTGGGCCAGACTATATAAAGTGGAGAGCATGGAAATGCTACTCTCTTTGTTCTTCTCTCTTTCCAGGCCTCTTGGGACTAGAGTTCCTGGGTCAGCAGGCCCAGGAAACTGAATGATGTGGAAAGTTCCTAGTTGCACCTCCCTGGGTGCTACACTGCAGGTGCCTGGCCAGCGAGCCAGGAGCACAGCAGGAACTGGGATGGTAGGGCACAGCGGGAGTAAGCCTGGGTCCATGTGTCCTGGAAGCTGGGTGGCCAGGTAACAAGCACCATGCCTTGCTGCATGCCTTGCCCCACACCAGCACCACAGCGGCGCCAGGGGCTGGGGCTGCACAGGTGTGGCTCAGCCAGGCAGACAGATGCACCAGAGGGCAGTGGCTGGAGGAGGAAGGCAGCAAACTGTGAGTAGGACACCTGAAGTACAAACTCCAAAAGATGCCTGAAGCCAGATAGTCACTGGAAACCAGCTAACCCACCTGCATCTCTTAAAGCATGGTACTTCTGGGTAGGAGAAGAGGTTTCTGGAATAACCTTGAACTGAGCTGGCAGAGGGTGGCCAGGTGATTTTCTTTGGGTGTCTTTAGGAAACAGGCTTTGAGGCAGAAACTTGCCATTATTTCAAAATGTATATCCTTTGAATAAAAGACTCATTTCCCTTTCTACTGAACACTGCCTCCAAAGTTTTTGCCTGTTGGTACGACTGGTAGGACCCCATTGCTTATTTGGTTACAAATACAGATTTAAAATTCCTCAAAACATACTTGCAAACTGAATTCAGCAGCAAATTAAAAGGATTACACACCACAACCAAGTGAGACTTACCCCAAAATGCATGAGTAATTAAACATATGAAACTAATCAATGTGATACACCACCGTAAGAGAACAAAGAAAAAACACACATGATCGTTTCAACTAATGCATAAAAAGCATTTGATAAAATCTTTTTACATTTGATAAAACTAGATAAAATCTAGTTTCTGAGAAAAAAATACACTTTAAACTAGGAATAAAAGGAACCTTTCCCAAGATGATATAGTTCACATATGATAAACTCAATTAACATCCTACTTAATAGTGATGACTGAAAGCTTATCTGCTAAGATTAGGAACAAAACAAGGATGTATGCTTTAACCACTTCCATTAATCATAGTCTTGGAAGTTCTAATCAGAGTAATTAGGTAAGAGAAAGAAGTAAAAGGCATCCAAATTGGAAAGAAAAAAATTACCTGTTTGCAGATGGCACGATTTAGAGAAAACACTAAATAATCCACCAAACCCCCTGTTCTTGCTAATAATTCTATTCAGCAAAATTTGAGGATACACAATCAGCATACAAAAATCTGCTGCATTTCTATGCACTAGCAATGAATAATCTAAAATGAAATTAAGAAAACAATTCCATGTATGATATCATTTGTTTTTATTTTTATTTTTTAACTTTTTTATTGTTTTTCAAGTATAGTTGTCTTCATTCCCACCCCCCTACCACAGGCATCCCCACTTCCCACCCTTGATCCTACCCCACTTTGGTTTTGTCCATGTGTCCTTTATAGATGTTCCTATAAACTCTTCCGCTTTTTCTATGATAACATTTTTAAAAACACCCACAATGTGATAGCATTTCATACCCACTAGGAATGGCCATTATCATAAAGGGGGGGGGGTAATAATTGTTGGTGAGTAAGTGGAATTATAGGAATCCTCATGCATTGATGGCTAGAATGTAAAGTTGTTCAGCCACTACTGAAAACAACTTGGTGGTTTTTCAGAAATTAAACTCAGAATTACCATATGAGCCCACAATTCCATCCGTAGCATATAACAAAAAGAGTTGGAAACAGAGCCTCAGATACTTGTACACAAATGTTCACAGTATCATTATTCACTACCCAGAAGGTGGAAATAACACATTTGTCTATCAACATATAAATTAATAAAGTGTGGTGCATACATACAAAGAAATATTAAGTCAAAAAATTAAGTTTTGATACATGCTAAATCATCTATGGACCATG